TGTTATGATATACATAATTATATGCATAGTTATAATGACGTAATCCTGTAAACCAGTCATGCGAATCAGTCAATAAACATGGCGCTCGACCACTTCAACACTATTCTCCTAAAAAAGCAATAGCAGTTGATGAGGGGATGATAGCATTCAAGGGGAGGCTATCTTTTCAGAAACACATGCCAGCCAAACCAACTTAATATGGTATCAAAGTGTGGATGGCGGCAGACTCCTCAAATGGATATGTATTGAACTTTGAGATATACATAGGGAGTAGCGAGAAGCTTGTTCATGGCCTTGGATACAACGTTGTGATGAGCATGATAAAAATAGAAATCATAACGTGACAACTTTTTCTCTAGTGTTCGTCTGCTCGAGCAATTAGAAGCACAGGATACATTTGCCTGTTCTACAGTGCGATTGAACAGGAAAGACTTGGTGCCATGTTCTCAGACAAAATTGGAAGAGATGAGAGGGCTTGTTCAAGCACAAAAAGGAAAACGTKTATTTACAAAATGGCATAACAAACGAGATGTTTCAACCAACGTCTCTCCTTTTAAACCATCAYGAACTGTCCAGCGCGTACAAAAGGGTAAAACATAGAGATTCAAAAGCCATGCGTTTGAGACAACTACACGAAAAATATGAGGGGAGTTGATCGAGCTGATCAACTTCGATCATATTATTATTACAATACCATGATCACCTCRGATTCTTTTGTCTTCCGAGGGATGTTTACAAGCGAACATCCCTCCCTCATGAATAGCATGAGGGACGCTAGTAATCTTCCCTCGTGCATAACAACATGAGGGAAGATTACCAGTAATCATCCCTCATGCATACATGTAATAACATGAGGGAAGATTAGACTAATCATCCCTCATGTTATTCATGAGGAACGCAAGGCAAAGGAAACCTTTGCTTCCTAGTAGGGACAACTGAATGTCCCTACAGCTGTCTTTTTAACTCTGCAATGAACGGTCTCGTTATCGTCTCAGTCACACTGAAATGTTGGATGATTTTTGGGCCAAATTGACTGAGTAGCTCTGGTTCTGAGTCTCTACTTCGTACCGCTGAGCATGTGCACTTGACRAATCTCAATGTTTGATAATAGTTGATAAACTTCTTCGCATTATACTTGCAAAAATATAAAAACTACTTTTCGGGGTTGAAGTTAAGGCTCGTTAACTTCAAGGTCAACTTCAATTTTTTCCTCGGAAATCATGATGTAACAAAGTAATAGCATGGCTCTGAGGGAGATTAGGGATTAAATGTCCCTCAGCCTCGGGCAGTTCTTCCGGTCTGCGGCCATTGGGACTTCAACTTATCTGCCCTCAGCTTCGGTGACATTTAATCCCTAATCTCCCTCAGAGCCATGCTATTACTTATAATTATTTTTCTTTAATGTTTCTGCATGCAATGCGTATGTCATGGAATGTGAAAGTCGAGGAAAAACAATAGGACACAGGTAAAGTTTTGACTTGAACTTGCAAAGAGACTGATCAATGGCTACTTAAATCGYAAGCGTACACAAGAGGTGGCTTCTTTCAATGGTAACACCACTGTTGGGGAAAATGTTTTGGCACAAATTGATGGAAGAAAGAAACAGTGTGTGGAGTGCAAGAGATGTGGATGGAAATGCCAAAAGGTTGGCCAGTTAAAAATGAAGAAAAAATGTAAACAGTGTGGAGTTTCACTCTGCAAAGTGCATTACACAGTGCTGTGTAAAACTTTCTCCAATATGACTTTTTCATCATGATATTTTTGCTTCTACTGGGTGTTTTAGAATTTTATGAGCATTTAATAACGATTCCTGTAACAATTATTATGTTTTGATCAACTTTATGCATAAAAATGATGATTCAAAGTTACAAATAGTGGCGGGAAATTCAAATTTTTTAATTAACTATAAGTTCAGGCTGTATTTTTTCACTTTTCTGTATTTGATTATCTAGAAATATCATATATCAATAAAGTAACATTTGAACTTCAATTCTAGCTATATAATTAAAGCTATAAATGACTCAATTTCTACTGAGCATATATATTTTAAATTGCCCTGAATAATTTGGGCTGACTTCTTAATTAGCTTTGGGAACAACAGGGGGTTATGCAAATAGGCCCTGGGAGTGAAATGGTTAATAAAAGACAATTTGCTTTCAGTCAAATTGTGCAAAATTTTCTTGCTCTAGACAATATGCAGCTAACAAAAATGATCACTTCCATCTGCTATACTTAGTTTTTAGCTATATATTACTGACAAAATCAACAACCCCCCACCCMCACYTTATAAAATGCTGGATCCGCCCCTAACATTTACATGTATTTTGCTCAAGTATCCAGAAAATGGATGCTTTAGTTTCATAGCTTTATTAGCTAGCMTGATGTGAGGGGTTAATTAAGTGACCATAAGTAGTCAAGGATTGCTGATATCTTAGATATTTGATATTATTAATACTAACCTGACATGGACTTCTTCCCAATCTACTGGAACTCCAGTAACCCTGATAAGGTAGAATTTTTAAATTAACATACTTTTTAATAATAATAACAATATCAGTAATAATAACAACAATAACAGTATATAACTAGAACCACTAAGTGGTTTTAATTGTGTCCTGGAATTACGGTCATCTCGGCCCATTGCCATGTTGCCCCACCATCTCGCCCCCACTATGGCATCTCTCCCCGTTAGTTGACATTTCAGATGTTTTATGTGATTCTAGYGCGATGTATTTGATTTATTACATATCAGGAACAAGTCTTGAATTCACTTGTTTTAACATTCAAGCGGCAAGTATACTGTTGCTGTTGACGTTCAATCGACCATTTTATACCGTAATACGCAGACTTTAAACTGAATCAAGCTTTAGTGTGATCGAGATTAGTAAACAAACCAGCTCTCCATATTCGCCATTTATTAGAAATTTATTAACATGTCACGTTGTGTCCTGCAAATCATGCCAAATTAATAAATGATCCTTGATGACCGACACGTTTTCCATATTTTCGAGCATTATAGTTACAGGTGTAAGTTTAGTGGAGCGATGCCGCTTTCCAACTTTTTGCAAACATAGTCTTGATTAGTCGCCATTACAGTATCTGAGTCAAACTAATTATCGTTGGCTGTAGTCACGCATAATCGTGACGCTCACGTCCAAGTCAAGTCGAAACTCAGACACAATTGACAGGCAAAATTCTTATAATATTAYGTAAATTTCAACAGTTAAACAAAGTTAAACTTCAAGAYTTCATGGGGGCTAAATGACATAGACATTGATATCAATAGGGGGCGAGATGGCAATGGGGCGAGATGACCGGTAACGGTGTCCTGCAGTTTCACCTACAGCTCTCGACAAAATGTTTGTGAATACCCCCACTCCCCTGTTTCAAAGTTGGAATTCTCACAAACAAGAACARGCTGACATGATGAGAACCAACTTTGAGACAGGGTTGGGGGATAATATTGCAGCTACATGTTCGAATATATTTTTTGTCAAGAGCTGTCTGAGTCCCTGGGAGAAGTTTTGAACATTTGCAGAGTRTGCTATTTAGGCACTTATAGGGTAAGCTGAAAAACTGTTCACTTTGTGAAGAAAGCACCAAATTTGGTAGACAAACTCAAATTTAAGGGGTTTAGGGGGTTAAATCATCAAAACAAGGCTTTGATAATGAAAATCCCTGCTTGTACATGTATAGGCTGATTGCCGACGTTCGAGGTATGTAACTGGCTCATTTCATACTTGAAGAACTTTTCCAAGCACTGCATTAATATTTTCATTTTTAAATAGGCAAAGAAGCCATTTTCATATGAATTAAAAACCAAAACCTCGATTAGAAAGGCTACGAWATTTACAGTATTGACAATTCCCAACGGGAATCTACTTAGTGTCATTTAAACTTTTCTTTCAACGGGAATCTACTTGGTGTCATTTGAACTTTTCTTTCTTTCTTTCAAGTTTCAGACGGAAAATTTCTAAGTTGAACGTGGTAGTTAATTAGGTATTCAAGGGCAATATACATTAGTATTCAAGGGCAATATATAGATATTGCCCTCAAACGGGGGYAATATATAGATATTGCCCTGAAACTTCGATATAAAGCACTTGAATGCACAATGAGCTGTGGAATAAGCGAGATACAACACTATGAATGACAAAGAAAACTGAATCAAGTATGAAATAATACTGGTTAAAGACATCTCCAAAACGTTTTAAATGACTAACTTTAAAAACTTTTTTTTCACGCAATGAATTCTGGGAAAAATCTACACACACCGTGAGCAACAATTCCGTCCAATCTGAAATAGAAATGTAGAGAAAGTCTACAGCCTTCTCGGAAATCTGCCAAAATTTCAAGTCGCTTTTGTTCCTCAATAGYCAAAACATCCAAAAATTACCGTGGCAGCTCCAAGGATTTGCCTTTAGAAGTCTTTTAAGTGATTCTCTTCAAGCGACTGTCCGAGTTAATCGAATGAACSGCGGAATCAAAATCGCTTAAAAAGTCACACACCAAGCTGGATTCTTTCAGCAAGTAAGCTCCTTCGCTACCTACAAACTTAATGATGTCTGTAGAGTAGTGACTAAAGGCAAAAAGGMTGAGAAAACCGCGAAAAAACTCATTTCTCGACTTCTTGCAGCACAGCTTYGGACCAAAACAAACCGACAAACCAACTGTCAAAGTCAGGAGTTTAGCGCGAATATGCAAATCTAGGATATTTTACRGTCTAGCGATCAGTTGTCAAGCCAAAGAAGTTGGTAACTGTGGGTCCTTTTTTGCTCTKTTTGGAAAGAAATCAGGAGAAATAAGTACTAAATAAGRTTATTTAGAYTTWAAATRAGCGATTGGAATGATGTTTTTTTAATTTTTCGAAAATTTCGAAAATACCCTAAATCGTCACTTAGGCCGTTTTCAAATCCAGGCCTTCAAATATATAATGGAGAAATCGGGTCACCTTGTTTGGTTCCTCTTTTAAGGGGAAAAGAGTTTGTTGTAGTTCCATTGTTTAATATACAACCGGTATTGTTCATTAGGAGAAGTTTGACCCACTTAATAAAATTTTCTCCGAAGTTAAAATGTTTCAACACTGCAATTATAAAGTTGTRCTCTATTGAGTCAAATGCTTTCTCGAAATCGGCGGCAAACAAAAGTGATGGAATATTTTGGTTTTTAGCATTGTCCATTAAGTCTTGTAAAATCAGCAACAATTCATCAATTTTCCTTCCTTTTAYGAATGCAAATTGATCGTTYTGAACTAAAACCAGCATTATTTTCTCCATTCTATTGCACATTAATCTGATAAAAATTTTGACGTCCCCGTTTATTAGACTAATTGGTCTCCATGAGTCTAGCAACCTATTATCTTTACCATGTTTTTCTAAAAACGTTATCATAATTTGTTTTTGAGTTGTTGTCAACTGTCCTATTTCAAAGTTCATTTTCAAACAGTTAAATAAATCATCTTTTATGTCGTTCCACATACATAGGTAAAATTCTTTTGTTATACCATCATTTCCAGGTGTTTTTGAGGAACCCATTTGTTTCAAAGCAGCAAAACATTCTTCTTTTGTTATAGTTTGATCGCAAATCAAAATCTCATAATGTAGATACCGGATAGTCCAGTAGTAATTCGCTGCATTCCTCAACTGATWTATTTGATTGGTTGGTCATTAACTGTGTTTTGGAGAGGTCTTTAACCAGTAATAACCACCAAATAGTGATTTTATTAACAAAGCCTCGTTTTGATGAGATAAACCCCCTAAAACCCCCTTAAGTTGAGTTTTGACAATGGCTCAACATCTGACTCTTAARAGTTAGTCATTAAAAAGGTTTTAGAGAGGTCTTTAACCAGTATTAACCACCAAGTAGTGATTTTTATAAACAAAGCCTCGTTTTGAGGTTTCAACCCCCCCTAAAACCCCCTAAAATTGAGTTTTGGCGATGGCTCCATATCTGATTCTTAAAAGTACATTAAAAACATGCCTACCAAATTTGGTGCTTTCTTCACAAAGTGCACAATTCCTCCAATTTTTAACGCTTATCCACCGAACCAACTTTGAGACAGGGGTGGGGGGTTAATATCGCAGCTATAAGATGTTCGAGTATTTTTGTCGAGAGCTGTCCTAGTTCCTGGGAGAAGTTGTGAACATGCGCAGAGAATGCAATTACACTTAAAAAATAGTGTTCATCGTTGACACGTCATTCCATTGTGATGGACATTACATCCACAGAGAATATAGTATTTACATATTTTTTCATGCAAAAAATTCATTATCCTACATTCTTTTATACAACACTGATTTTAAATTGTAGAACTTAATAAAAAATACTTTGTCAGCTCTTATTCCTATTTGGTAATTTTTTATTTTTTATTTTTGCAAAAAGGACCGTGATGGACAGTACATCCAAAACTACCACTACTATCGAAACTATGTTATTTCTGAAATAACAAAAATTACAAAAGGGAAAGTCTGTCGGTGATGGACATTACATGAGACATGATGGACATTATACTCTTCAAAAGTCTAATATACAATYCCTAGTTTTTAGATAATTTTGTAAGTTCTTACATTAAGAACTTTTAACCACTTTTTTTTTAACCACTTTCACAATTTATAGATTAAAACTATGTTATTTCTGAAATAGTTTCAACAATTTTAGCATTTTCTSCTTAACTCTGGTCAGTGTCTTTTTTCATTAAAAGCATGCTCAGAGAATACTTTTTGAAAGGAAACTGCTAACCATTCTTTTTCATGACATCTCTAGACRCTCTGTATAAATATGTTGTAAGTTTCTATTTACTGGCCAAGGCTTATTTGATGACATAAAGAGTATAAGATCGACTCATGTGCTTTCTGTGGACCAGCATCAAGATCATGAATTCAGGTCCATTCAAAGTCCCAAAGCAGGAAAAAATAGAAAAAGCCTTCAAGCATTTGAAGAGCACTCAAAGCCTTAAGAGCTAGGAATTGTCTAGAAATTGAGTTAGGATGCACAAATCAATGTTTGTAAAATTATTTATTTTAAGCATTGTTTCTACCTTCATTTGACGTGATGGACATTACCTGTATTTGAACCAGATTTCTCCACAATACTTAACCAAATATAAAAAAGTTATTTCACTAAAATGATGTTCTAAAAAAACTTACTTACTAGAAGAACTACTTTAGCTAACAGATCAGATTGTTTCGTGATGGACATTACAATGTCATGTAATTTATAGAGACAAACATTCAAGTCAAACACATGAAAGAGCTTACACTAATGTGGAAATTGTTAATTTCTAGCAAAAGCTAAGATAGACGGCTACCTAAAAATGTGTGCAAGATAAATGATTTCAATATCCCTCCTTAAGCAGAGTGACATAAAGTTGTGTGTCCTGAAACTTATTGTTTGATCTATTTGGAATGCTGGGTGCCCCCCTCAAAGTGGGTGTGGCCCTAATCACCGAATTCACACTTGAAAGACATCATTCAATTACCATTCTTCCTAGTTTTTATGTATAAAATGTTTCTTAGTATATTTTGATTTGAAAAAAATGATTTTTGGGATGTCTCATATGGAATTACCACATTATTCATGTCAAGCTAAGGTTAATAAAACAGAGTGTCTAAACATCAGGCAGCCTGACGTTTAGTCCCCGTTTAGTCCCCGTTTAGTCCCCGAACTAAATGTCAGGCAGTCGATTTTTTTGTGAAAAATCGTTGGAACAACTGTAATTGCAATTACAGATTATCAATTTTGTTTAGTTTGACTTATAAGTTTCCAAAAAAAAAAAACATTCGCAAAGTTAGCCCTTTAGTACTATGCATGTCTTTGTACTAATACAGGAAAAGTTTGCGTAACTTCATCTCAAAACATTGAGTTCAAAGATTTGCAAAATGAATTCAATGAATTTGCATCTCGTTAACAAAGTTCTTTTTAAATGATAACTCTTTGCAATGTCCAGACAGAGGGTCTAAATTGCTTTTTAACAAGTAACAATAACAATAATTGGTAGAGTGAATGCACTTAAAGTGTGCCTAACCACCTATTTGGAGTAATTCCCGCATAATTCTAGACATCATTTTAAGCACTTCTGCGAAACAAATCCATAAATCCCTGATTTTTAATTGCATCCTAACTTGCCTAACTTGTGCAGTCAATGGCCTCACTCCAAGAGACTGGAACAGAGAGTGACGTACACCCAGGAATTGGTCTGCTTGAAGTTTGGCGGGAACTACTTTTGATTCATTCCGTCATAAGCTTGTTATTTTAGTTGTTTTATAGAGTAAATAACCATGTAATTCCATTAGAAATCTCTTTATTCCTGGATAGACATCATCAGTCATTATCCAAATTCTCAGCGTTCTTTATCATCCATGATATCCACAGGGATCCATTGAGGCTTTTATTGGGGGGGTTTAGATAACGGCCTATTAACCCATTATCTTGGTATATATAACAAAACATTTTAAGCCACTAACTTGTTCGGTTAAATAAATTTTAGTATTATATAAAGTATTAGCATTATATATATATAAACATTTTAAGCCACTAAAGTTAACGGCTTAAAATGTTTTGATWGGTATATGAAAAGACTAAAATCAGCCGTAAAGTTAACGGCTTAAAATGCTTTGTTATGTATATGGTAAAGACTAAAATCGGCCGTTAAGTTAACGGCTTAAAATGTTTTGTTATGTATAGAAAAAGACTAAAATCGACCGTTAAACTTAACGGCTTAAAATGTTTTGTTATGTATAGAAAAAGACTAAAATCGGCCGTAAAATTAACGGCTTAAAATGTCTTGTTATGTATAGAAAAAGACTAAAATCGGCCGTAAAGTTAACGGCTTAAAATGTCTTGTTATGTATAGAAAAAGACTAAAATCGGCCGTAAAGTTAACGGCTTTTAAGTCTTGTTATGTATAGAAAAAGACTAAAATAGGCCGTTAAGTTAATGTCTTAAAATGTTTTGTTATGTATATGACAAGACTAAAATCGGCCGTAAAGTTAAATGGCTTAAAATGCTTTGTTATGTATATGGTAGAGACTAAAATCGGCCGTTCGTTAACGGCTTAAAATGTTTTGTTRTGTATATGGTAAAGACTAAAATTGKCCGTTAAGATAATGGCTTAAAATGTTTTGTTATGTGTACGACAATACTAAAATCGGCCGTTAAGTTGATCATGGTTTTATTAGTAGGGGCCGACAATCCCATTGGAATGCCGTCCCGAGGATAGTCGGCATCCTATCCAAGAAGGCTAAGAAGGCTTAGTTGTGCTATCGATATAAGAGAGTTTGGATATTTTGAACTAGACACTCTTATTAGACCGTGAGTTCGGCTTTTTTGGAGAAAAATTAAGAAATATATATTTTAATCTAATTTTTATATTTTATGTAATATCCTCCTGTCTTTCTCAAGGTTCATTTACATTCATAATATAATCATATGATTAGAAAGAATACAACATCATAATCTTTTCATTCGTGTCTATCAATTTTCAAAAATAGCTAGCAGTTTTGCTGTTCTATGATACGCTTGTTTACAGCCGAGTTCGTAATGTGATATGCGTTCGGGACGCAAAGGTCAGCCCGAAGACAAAGGTCTCACATAGAAAAAAAAACTATACGCGGCATTTTCTAACGCGTGACCCAGCCTAGGGCCTGGTCACGAGTAATGATATACTGGAGAATCTTCTAAACAGTATTATTTTGTTTGTGCAAAGGAATTTGTTTCAAAAAAATAATTATAATTAATAATTCTTTCCTCAACCTTGCAGAAAATAGTCTGTAAGGACTGAATTGCTTCAATCCATATATTATATGTATAATTAGATTAAAAACAGAGAAATTTTGTTTTCAGTAGAGGTACAAATTTCTGAACAACAGATCAGTCAGCTGAATTTTGTTTTTCTGACTCTCGCTGCTAACATACGATACCAACACATTGTACACAAGAACAAGTTGATCATCTAATATGAATTTCAATGCATTACACACTTTCTCCAAGGTRAAGCTGTAATGTTTCTAGCTTTAATTCTACTGATGTGTACAGTATTTAAATTATTACATACAACTGCTTGTTGCAATTGCCACAATGACTAAAAAAAATTTTATATAGTAGTTAGGTGGCTTCTTGATTCCTTTGGATATAGGTACAAATGCTCCTCATTCTAATTTGATCATTGTTACTTACTTGAATATTTGTTTGACACAGTTGACTAATTCAGGACCAACACCATCCCCAGGGATAACGGTTACTGTGTGTCTCCCACCAAACTGTACAAGGGAATCATCTGAATCCTCCAATAGAGTAGTTGAGAGTAGCCTTGATTGACATGATTGTGTTACCACTGGAATAACCTGGAAAAAAATACTGTGTTCTGTTATTTATCACAAACCATAAACGTTAAAATGATGCATGGTGATTGAATAAAGAATCAGTCACTTGTCACTTCCCCTTACCACTACCCTTTAGGCTGAGTCATATCTGACAATATAAAAATTGTACGTGATTCTGAATTCTATCTTTAGTGATATTAAATTTTGGGATCCTATGGTATTGAATGTAGGTATACCAGTCAGACCCTTTTTAGCCTGCTCTGTTGAACGTTTGGGAGGAGGAAAAATGCATCTAGAAGAACTTGCATATTTCTTAGTGTAAGYGATATGTATATTCTCTAACACGTAGACATAAAATAATTACCACTTCTCACATCTTTAACAACCGACCCCTTTTTTCTAACAAACGTGATCGTAAMCTTTCRTTCTTTCCTAGTTCTTTCCTTTTCATTCAAATAACGATTCCTGGCACTTTCCGTTACTCACGCAAAATTTATAACTCTTGTCCGTACATTGTTTTGCACACTTCAATAGTTGATCCCAACTCATCACTCAGAATCAATGAACATTTTGAATGTACCASCGGGTGTACCACCTCTAATGTTGTCTATTCCATTAAATGTTCACTTTGTAATTCATTCTATGTCAGCGAGACTGGCTGTCGTCTTGGTGATCTTATCCGTGAACATCTTTATAATATTATTAACTTCTGTGCAAAATTGATTTATCTTAACCAAGCTTTCGGCCTAAGCGGCCATTTTCAATGTTGTAGTACCCGTGATGATCTAATCTATGCAGCTAACTGAAAGCGCTTGAGAAAACTGTACAATACGCACGTGCATATTACAATCCCAGGACTAAACGTCAGGCAGTCGAATTTTTTCTTAAAATGTCTGACGTTTAGTCCCAGGATGCCTGACGTTTAGACACTCCGTATTTATTTTCTTCACRTTTCTAAAGGCATTTGTCTAAGGGAGTGCAACAATAGTGTTGTGTCAAGTTAAATCGTGCAGTTGATTTATGTCAGTATAAAAGGAGTAGTGCTAAGTGAGTTCGTCCTTCGGGTCTATGTAAGCGACTCACTACGGACGTCGTAGTATAATATTCTACCCTATCCATTGTTAWTAATGAGGTATGGGGATATCCACCTGGCCTGGAACCRTCCAGTTAAGCCCCAAAGGTGGATTTGTTTTACTCGTAATCGTACGCTTGCCGCGGGAGGTGGGTGGKTAGCCATCCTACTGCTTGTGCCCTTTGAATGAAGTGATTGGAGTAGCCACTCCCTGACCATATATATACTCATTTACATAATTACAATTCCCTAGGGTATTAATTATAATATTCAAATGACTTTGAATAGTATAATATTCTACCCTATCCATTGTTAATAATGAGGTATGGGGATATCCACCTGGCCTTCCCCTACCTCATTAAACCCTGGCCCGGTACAAGCCTTCCAGAACCCAAACCCGTACACGGGGATCTCAAAGACCCCTTGGCTCTCTCCCAATCCTTAAAATCTCCCTCCCCCAAGACACCTCAGCCAGAATCTACAACTCTAGACTGCTCAACGAGTGAGTGAGAACACAAATAGCTAGTCTCGAAATGCCTTGTTCCAGTTGGTAAATGAACCAAACAACACATACTGCAATTCATCGGTGGAGACCGACGACCACACGTGCTTTTAGTCTGGCCACGGTAGAAAATCACTCCACGTGTCCAAGGCCCTTGTCCACRACCTCATGCTCCAGTTCCTCTCGCAATCTATCGGTAACGATTGCATGGCCAGAATCCTTGGCTCTCCCGATAGCCCGAGACACTTCCCTTGCGAACAATGTAGCTGCCGGAACTGCAAGACTGACGGCCACACATTTACCTTGAAATCRCTGTAAGTTCTTGACAAAACCCCTTTCTTAGATTTTAGGATGCTTTCCCTGAGTGCCGCCAATATTCAACTGTACGGGGAAGAACCACGAGGAGAGGCTCACATTCTCCAACTCTCCCCCCAAACTGTAGCGCGCCTATTTTGACCGGTTTTACAATTTCTCCGGTCGCAAACTCACTGAATTGGATGCTTAGAAAACACTTTGTGGAGGGAACCTGCAATTATATTTGGCCTCTCGAAAAACCCCTTTGAAGTGCTGGCTAAATTTCATGACAATGATTTCGTTCCGGATCCAGCCCAACATCATATCCCTCAAAGGATAGCCGTGTAGAATTTTCCCCATTCCTCGGGATTTGCGTGAATTCCCCCAGCCACGAAAACTGGGATTTTTAGATGTAACGAATCTAAAACAGCTGTCTTGCCGGCAAGTATGCCTGCGACAACGCCTGTGTAAGGCCATCCCTCCTGGACAGGAACCCCATCGACTTCACCCAGGAACACTCGGCCCATACTAGGTTTTAAACCCTTAAGTTTGGACCCACAGATTGCTTCTCTCCCAGAGAGATATCCCTTCGTACGTCTCTCTCTAGACCACTGACCCTAAGCCAAATGGACACAAAATAAAACCCATCTTACGGAGCCGAGGGAGACCAGGATATTTGGTATCCGGTGATGTCGCCCCGAAGTGATGTCGCCCCATGATCTCGCCCCCATATAAAGTGATCTCGCCCCCACTTAGTTATTGATATATATATGCAGTCGTAATGCAAAATATAAACAAGTTAGCTATCGTTAACTTTTAGTTTTTCAGGCCTATATGAACAAATTTCAGTGAAATTTATTTTTCACTACGAACGACTACGAACGAGTAGCTGAGTAAGCGGTTGAATTCRAAACAATAAAACATCACCTTGCACTTAAAACAAAGTAATATAATGTCAAATAGTTTCCAATCTAACGTATTTGGACTTG